CTTTGTCCATGGAAGGTCCCTGCAAAATTTCATTGAAATTGGTTCAGGGGTTTTGGAGAAGAAGTCGAAAATGTAAATTGTTTACGGACGCACGACGGACGACGGACGACGGACGACGACGGACAAAAGGCGATCGCAATAGGTCACTTGAGACTTTGTCTCAGGTGACCTTAAAACCAAAAAAACTAACAATCACACACACAAACGGTAGAAGTAAACGAGTTGCAGGCAAATGATCGTTGATTTAGTAATGCTTCCGTTCATACACTTATATGACATGGTGACGATGGTGACATTACAAATAATTCCTCACAGTCCCGACATTGAACGTGTCGCTTTTGTATTGCATATTGTAATAAAAAGATACCGCAGTATAAAATACACAATGGCAAATTCAAATTGTCGAATATTTATTACATGAAATCACACATTATTTATTCAATAAATCTTCATTGAATCTTAAATAAGGCAATGTAAGTTGATATGAATTAAGCTACATATGTATAATTCAGCAACATTGTATACAACTTTGCAATTGAGTTACCCTCTCAAAATGACAATCTTCTAGGTATCAAGTTTCTAAAATAGTTTGATTACATTTTATTTTACCGGGAAGGGGGTTTCTTTGCTGCAATGTCATAGCAGGGAAATTTCACACTTCTTAATATAATTTGTGGTAACTGTAGAAACAAAATATCGAAGTACATATGTACTGATGGTCAAATGATTTCCTCTATTTTGCAATTGACACTAAATGCTAAGTTACTCTCTGAGTTCATGTATAAACACTTAGTTGATTCATGATAATTTGTCCCATCAAAAATAGTAAACAGAATGCCAACGGAATCAACTTATATGAATTTGCAACTACTGAATACACATATGGACAAAGGCAATATTATACACAAATGACGTCGTCATTCCTAATTAAAGTAACATTGTACCAAAGACAATAGTATACACAAATGACGTCGCCATTCATAATTAAAGGAACATTGTACCAAAGACAATAGTATACACAAATTACGTCGCCATTCATAATTATAGAAACATTGTACCAAAGACAATAGTATACACAAATAATACGTCGCCATTCATAATCAAATGAACATCGAACCAAAGACAACAGTTAATGTCGCTATTCATAACTTTAAGTAATATTGTACCAAGGACAATAGTATCAACAGTGACGACACAATTCACAATTACACTGAAACCAAAAAGAAACGCAACTTTTTTAATTTTTGTAAAATGATGATTTTGAACAATAGGTTTCAATATTTGATGTTTTAGTCAACTTTGAATATTGATCTAACCCATATCATTTTTTAGGGATTTTTAAAGAAAGGGGTTTCACTAGACTCTCATGAAAACAAGTACCTTATATTACTTAAAGTTAAAATGACAGCAGTTTGAAGATCGGTCCCTTATGCTGTGTGTTCTCCTTAAACAGCTATAGAATCTCTGCATTGACTTTATAGGGGCATTGACTGATTGTATAGTATTTGTTTCCCATTCCTCGACAAAAGCATCGACAAAATAGGGGACCTATGTCGATTCTACTTTCCTGTCTAGTTCATCTCACTGTTTCAATTGGGGCTACATGTAGGTCAATCGATCTGATTTGTTGCAATAACGTCCCTAACGACTCTGGCAACGTGTAGCCTTGCATAACTATGCTAAAAAGTGAGACGATGCCTCCTAACAAAAGGCAATATGGGCCGCTTATCATTGCATACGATGCCTCCTAACAAAAGGCAATATGGACCGCTTATCATTGCATAAGACGTGTTTGACGTTGCGGTGTCAGTTGTAATCCTTCAAGACCATTTACGAAGTCGCGTTTCTTTTTAGTTTGTATATATGCAATATTGAACCAAAGGCAACATTATCATTTGTTAACAATGATTTCCTTTTAAGGAACTCTGGTAATTCTCCCTTAATTATATAATGTTATCACGTATATCAACAAATTTTTAGACTACTCTGGTGATATTGTACTTTCGGAAAACTTGCTGAAATGAGTGCTGGTGCAAGCTAGCAGATCGAAAAAACAATTTCATCCTAAACATAACCACACAAACCTGATGAATACAAATCAAAACACTTATTACCATGAAACCGATATAAGTTTCCGAGTCTACATATTGGAGGGACCTGTATCCCTCATATGTTCATAATTAACAATACAATATAATTTTATGTTTTTCTCATACAACCACTATACGTTTCCTCACTTCCGACTAATTAGATAAACCTCTTTGGAGTTGTTAAATAAGTTTGGGTATTCACTAGTGGATAACACACAGGACGTGATTCAAGTCACTTCGATGAAACTTAAATAATAACCAAAATTTATCAAAATCAATGTGTCAACTTGGATGTCAAGTCGGATAAATAATAATTGCACATCCTCGCATGCTCATTAAAAGTATAACACTCGCGTGTTAATTTAAGAAGACAAAATCACATCAAACAAATACGAAAATACTTTTTAAATGTACCATCGTTAAGTTGTTTAAGTATCAACCAGCCACAACTGTACTTTGTACATATAATACTACTTAAGTATCAACAGTTAATACTAATAAAAATACTATATTATTTTCAATATGAAACATCAGAGTAACATTCATAAAGAGGTTTGAGTGATGTTTTACAAATTCAAATGTATAAAGGATTTCCTGTCATTTCAACTCTCCTTAAGGAAACATTAATGACTGGGTGAAATATTGTTGTAATTCCTCACAATGTTACCTTTACCCCTTCTGACATCAAAATATATATGGCTAAGACTACTCACACCTCAAATTAAAACTTAGGGTGATAATTTATTAAGAAGTCGTCCCTCGGGGTGAAAGCAATATTTTAGCAACAGTGACCTTAACCTCAGGCGAATCGTGCCTAAAGACAATGAGCTTATTTACAATCACTAAGGCAACTCATACACCAAGTTTGATCATTCCTGATTCTCAAGTTATCGTCCAGAGAAGTGCTACGGACGCACGAACGGACTAACCAGGTGACCCACTATATTCCTCATCTACCGATGATTTTTGTGTCGGTGCAATACAAGATGAACACCGATCAGATAGCCTTTATATTCATATCAATGATAACAAATAAATAATACGTTTACATTCACAATGTAATATATATGCGGATATCTAATTTAGGGGTACATTATTATGTTATAATAAACCGGTACATAACAATTCAATACAAAAGAGTGTATTGTGATGTTGAAGGTATTGATCATCTCAAGACGACGGCTTGACTAAACACACGCTATTTACATGTAGTTGTGATGACAAGCAGCTTTAAGATACCTTCTTGCTATTACAATGTAGTATATAAGTCTAGTTCTATAATAAACGTAGGTTACACTTTGTTATGATCTGATATAAACATAGTCTTTATGAATAAAACGTGGCTTATTCAGGAAACGACTATTTCAGAACTCGATTACAATAATATATAAGGGTAATTAGTCAGTAATGTTAAAGTCTGATTTCTTCTAGACGGTGTCAAAATTAAAAGTTTCTCCTTTGAAGCATAAACACCATACATTATAATTACCAGCTTATATAAATAACAAAATCGTAAAAGTATTGACACTAAGATTTGCTGGTATAAGTAGTAAATTCCAACAATGTCTGGAATGCATCAACCAATTAGAAGTAAGCAGAGATTCTTGATCTTATCTTCAAACTTGGTCCTGACATTGATATTTTACAACCATAAACTATATTTGGCTTAAGTCTATATATACATTATGTTGTCAACATAGCAGTAACCAGTCAGAACATCACGGGAAATCATATGCAGAAAAAAATCAATTTCGTTTTTTCTTGTTTACACAAAATTTCGACTTTATACTTGACAAGTTGACTAATGTGATCAAAGTTGCATCTTACTTACACGAAGGTTTGAATTATTTATTAAAATTCGACTTATTTTTAGAACGAAATGATTTATTAGTATGTGAATTTTTCGACCAACTAACTTGAAATTTCGAGATAATAATCAGACTTTGGTTCATTTGGACGGCGATTGTTATAATGGTTAAACAAAGAGATGGAATAGTTTGACAGCATCTCCATTGAGGATTGAGCAACAATGAGAGTTTAGCTTTGATAGTAAATACATATATTACGTCTGTGATACAGGTATCATTTGTCATCTTTGGAGTAAATATCTAACTTTGTTGAAATTTCAGCTCAATGTCAACATCGAGTTAACAAGTCGAAATTGTGAGCAAGTAAGTTGAAATGTTAAGATAGTAGGAAGTCAAAATATTCCGTTAAACATTTCCATTCAGTAACACACACACACGCACCGATAAAGAAATGCATTATTTTTTACATGATTCTAATGCTCTTGCATAGAATCGAGGTAGTAAATCAACCAACTGGGTCACTTTTAAATATGGAATTTGCATCGACATAACTGAATTTGATGAAAATCCCACAGACAAAATTTATCTATAATCTATAACCAAATCAATTACATATATGTACAGGTTCTCTTGATTCAAATTGGCGTACATGTATGTATTGCCATTATGTTACAAATAAAACTTCATGAAGCGGTGTACCTCCTATATGATCCTTTGTGCAGGTATCACACGTTTGAACCCTTCTTTAAGCGTTAAGAGTAGGTTGTGCATATTATTTTTACATTAATGGAGTGTGTATATTTGGTCTCAAATTAAGGATTAAAACAAGTCCCTTATTATGTTTTTAATTTAAGGATTACAACACCATTTCCATTAACATCTCAAGTTGACATCAAACCATCAGCGATTAGAAAGTCATTGCTTATATTGGGAGTAATTCAGCTTCGCTAATCTTTAAAGTAATCAAGTTTTGCTAAGAGTAATACAGTCATTGCTTATCTTTAGAGTATGTAGGACTACAGTCGTATTTATGTCCCATAAGAACAAGTTTCTGAGAGACCCGCATTTCCTTGCTTAACTTTTCCCTCAACGTAAATATTTTTAAACTTGATTAACATTGTTATGTAGCTTATTGTTGTTCACTCTGGTCCTTTTACACATCAGTAGAGCCAAATGTTCTTGTTTACCTTTTCAATGAGCAATGACACGATTGACACTTGTGATTGTGAGTCTTACGGCATCAAATCCAACAGTCCTGTCAAAAACAAAGTTGTTTTTGCCGATGAGTCAGCTAGAATAATTCTTGTCAACTTTGATTTAGACTTCTGCTGTTTTGCATACTTTACAACCTCCTCAACACAAATCTGCCAGAGCTCTTCCGTATATCCATCCTGCAGTGTACCTGATATAAACATAACAAAACAAAAATATTTTAATGAGAAGCTAAATACGACATGGACAAGTAAATTAGTGTATTACACCTAGGCGTGCGCGCACGCACGTTTACTTCTACTAACATAAACATTCTGATCAGCAATTATTTAACGATTATATCTATAAAACAAATCATCAATCGTCTGACACCAGAACATGCAGATAGGAGCAAAATGGAGTGAGTATAATGTTACTCCCCACAGGCAGGGAAGACTTTTAGCAACCTTATACCGGTTATAACGTACAGGAACTTTATGAAAATATCTTATTTCAACTTAATATTTGAACATAGAAACTATTTACAAGAGGTGAAGAAAATCCTCCAGTGTGTCTGCTTATTTATAAATGCAGTCCTTAGTTAACCCTGGCTATAATCCTTAGTGAAACAAATTCAGTACTTGTAACGTTAACATATTGTTCGTGATTTTGAATTAAATTGACGTGATGATACACAATGAAATATTATTTAACAATAAATCACAGTTGGTAAATGTGAGCAGAAGCTGATATTGCCGCCAGAGTTTGACAACCACGGACGAGAAATCTTTGAAAATGAGAAAAATACCAACAGTTTGTATGCAAACATAGATGCGCCAAAGACAGGATCAACTAGTATGCTGTATTTATTTGTTTATTTAAGAAGCTCTATCTGGCTTTCATGATTTTGAAACTGAAGCAGTGTATGCATATGTGTATAAACAAACAATAGAAAAAATATAAAACAACAAACTCATCCATCAACCCTTTGAAAAGTCCATTTCAACTAGCTCAATAAACATGTTTTTATTCTAAAAAAATCACCAGAAGTGAAACTTGGCAACTTGATGAACAAATATCTTGACACTTAGCTATTTGACAATCACATTTACCTTCCATGAAAAAGTAATAGGTTCCCTTATAGGCTAAATCTTATTTTAGAAACTAATTTATGTTACAAAGATTGTTACTTTCCAACATTGTGAAGTTTCAGAGATTTCACTATTACATGTATCACAATAAACATAACATTATAATGACACAATGCAAGTGAAGTATGATAAAATCTTCTGTGTAAATTTGTCAAATGTTCCTTTCTCAATTTGTACATAGTTTTTTTTTGTGTTAGAAGGAAATAATCTGTTACTTTGGCATTTCAGAATCTTGTTACTTTCTCTCTATGTATGTCATGTGCAACTTAGGTACCTAAATATAAACCTTATTAAATTCAACTAGAAATGTAGATTTGTTTGATAGAGGTATTAATAGTTGTATCCAAAATTATTAACCCTTGTGTGCATTAACTGGTGATCTTGACCTCTGGCAGACCATGCGCAAGCTACCGGTATTAACAATACATACCTGGTGCAAAAGACGGCAGAGCAACAGAATCCAACTTCAATTCATCCACCTTCCTGAAAACTTGATGAAAGCATGCCCTGACAGAGTCCGTAAGTCCCTTCCATAAAGCTTTAGCATGTGACGTCTTTGGATCAGCTACTGGCGCTATTACATGCAATACATGTGACACATTCTGCAAATCTCCCCCATGTGTATGAAACACATCTGAAATCTGCAGACGTTTCTTTTCTTTTATAAACTTCTCTTTCTCCTTTCGGTACTTTCCACCAGCTTTTCTTTCAATTGCCTTAGCAACAAATCGTTGACTCTGAAATTGTTCATCCTCTAAACTGACAAGAGCAGCAGCGTGTGTATCCACATAAGACTGCTTCATAACCCACACAGTAAGTTTGTCATTTAGCTGAAGTGTTCCTCCAGTGTCTGATTTACCCAGCCAGACTGGGTATACAATTTTCCTATTGACACATTGTACTGCTGGTGAGACTGGGGAAGCTACTTGTGGTTTACTCGCTCGAAATGCCTCCGATACCTTTCTCAGAATATCTTTGTCCTGATCCACAAAGTGGATTTCTGCCCGGGTTGGTTTCTGATGTTTTTCACAAAACATGTTTACAGCTTCTTTATATGCAGCAGTACACATTTCAGTTGGATTATGGCCTTTTCCTGTAAAACACATAACAAAAAAATGTTTTATACAAAAAGCACTTGTAGATATATAATATCTATATACCATGAGTAGATCATAGCTTATGTGTGAAGCTGTAATGGATATCACCATAACTTAGTACATCATGTTATACTACAGGAGACAGACTGTTAAAACAAAATCAGTTTTATTTGTTGTTGTTTATTTTGTTTTAATGTCTATAGATAGCTTAAGTAATCTAGGTTCAAACACTAATAGCATTTGTTACGAGGAATATTTTTCAACATTTTAGCACAAAGCATTGTAACAATAGTGTGGTTTCATAATAGATTATACAGTTTGCAGCTTCTATTTGAGAGTTAAATAAGTAGACTTGGTATAAGTGAATGTATTTAACTATGGCAGAGCAGAGTGATCACTAGCCGTAAGAAGTAATGAAGGTGGATGCCGTAAGGAGCTGTGGGTAAATTTTTCATGGATTAACAGGAATATTTTGAAATATACTCGCAGCAATTAACTGATTGAAATTTCCATAATAATAATAAGCTATTTTAACATCACAAAAACTTATAATTTAAAGTCATAGTTACAAGATAAAACAAGAGTTTGCATTGCTCACCTGGTATAAATCTCACACTTGTACATGTAACCTTTAAAGTTAACTAAAATAAAGCTACAGACAGAATGCCAGTATCTATGACTATAAGTCATTCGAAAGAATTTGTTTAAAGATCTCAACACATTTGACCTTGAAATTAAAACAAGGTTATTTCAATGAACAAAATGTATAGCCCTTCATCTCAGCATGCAACTTGCCAAACATCACCACCCTAAAGACTTTTTGTTTATTGAGATTAGGTCATTACAAAGTTTAAACACATTTGACCTAATGTTATCTTGAAAGTCACTCAATACTTGAAAGCTCTTCATCTGAGCATGCTACTGACAAATTATCACCCACCCTACATCTTTTAGGGTAATCATAAGAAGGTGTTTAAAAGTTTTGAAAACATTTTGAGTCTTTGACCTTGAATATGGATTAAAGTCATTAATTAGAACAAGCCACATTGTTTTTCAACTGAGTATGAGCCGGTGACATTTAATATGGGCAAAGATCATTCATTTGAACAAACTGAGTACCATTTCATCCCTGCATGCTACTGGCCAAATATAAACATGCTGGGCGTTTTGGTTATTCAAAATAAATTGTTTAAAGGTTTTTAAAGACAATTGACCCCTATGACCTTGAATATAGATGAAAGTATTTTATTTGAACAAATTGGTAACCCTTCAACACAGCATGTAACCAGCCAAATATCATCATCCTGGTACATTTGGTTATTCAGACTAAAATGTTTGAAGATTTTTTTTATAACAATAGAGTAGACTCCTGTGACTTTGGATATGTATGAAAGTCATTGATTGTAGGCATCCTGGTTATTCAGCAGAAGTTGTTGAAGAACTTTAAGGTATTTGACCACTGAAACCTTGAAAATGGACGAAAATCATTCATAGACACATTTTGATAGCCAATCATCAATGCAAGCTACTGGCAAAATATTAACATTCTTGGCCTTTATTATACAGAAATAGACATTTAAATGTTTTAAAAATATTTATCCCTTGTGACCTTGAATATAACTCAAGGTCATTTATTTGAACAAACTTGGTAGCCCTTTATCTCAGCATGTTACTAGCCAAATATCATCCGCTTGGTTCTTTTGGTTGTTCAGAAGAAATTGTTGGACATTTGTTAAGATAATAAATCCCTGTGACATTAAGAACTTGGTAGCACTTCATCCATGCATGTTACCAGCCAAATATCATCATCCTGTGCCTTTTGTTGCTAAATATTAAAATATTTCTACATATTTGACCCCTGTGACCTTGAATATGGACAAAGGCCATTCATTTGAACAAACATGGTAGCCCTTCATCCCAGCATGCTATTGACCAAATATCATCACTCTATGGCTCTTGGTTCATGAGAACAAAATGTTTGTAATAAAAAGTCGACGCCGGTCGGATGACAGACAGACGGACAAATGCACCAGGCCATAAGCTCACTTGGCCCTTCGAGAGACATATAGAGACATGCACCATAGTGAGCAAGTCACATAACCAAGAACATACAACACATAGCCATGCACAACAGACACAATATCAAAGACAACAGTCACATCATGGACACAAGACACATTATTAAGGACATATTGTTAATTATTAGGTGTATTTTTGTCTGTATTTTGTGTGTCTCTATAGTTTTAAATATCCACTGTTACCAACTGTTCATAGTTCTTAGTTTATTCGTCCATAGTTATGTGACTGTTGTCAACATTTGTCAACATTTTGTGTGTCTCTGAACTTATTTATTTATTGTATAAACTTGTTTTTTCAATTATTACAAGTCTGGTGTGCATATTTTGTTTGTCCTTCATCTTGTGTATATGCTGTGACGCTGTGTCCGTCATCCATCTGTCCGTAACTGTGTGTTTCTTTTTCCATATGGTTATATATCTGTCATCCATATTCTTTAGTGTCTGTACCTTTGTACAGTATACATGTTCTTTTTCCTTAATTTTGACTCAATTCTTTTTGGTTTGTGTTTTGTGTGGCTGTTATCTTACAAGGCCAAAATTTCACAGACATTCCTTAATTTCATGAAATTACTTGATGTGACTTTTGAAGTGTTCCCATAGGAAAGTATTAACAGTGTTGAGGAAAAATGTTAAGGAAAGTTTTCCTTTAGTTCAGAAATCTTTCCTATTCAGTATTGAAAATCTTAATGAATTTCTTGAAGTTAAGGAATATGTGTAAAAATGAATTTCCCAAAGTTTGAAAGCATTTGTGAAACAGAGGCCTGATCAGTACTCACCAATAGCAGGAAGTGCAACAGATCTAGCACCAGCGTTGTCAGCCTTCATCAAACTGTTCAGGATGGATCTGCAAAGGTCATCCTGACAACATTGCCTGTTTTGTTGATTGTGAGGCTTGTAAAAACTCCAAACTGGAATAACAGCATGGATGATGAAGTTGTAGTGAAGGTTACCAGCAGTAGTAACACAACAATCACCAATGTCCAGTTTCCCCTTTCCACGAAATATATTGGTACATGCTACCTCCAATGCTGGTCCAGCAGCTATGGCAATCTTACTTGCCAGGCCCCCGGAGTTGTCAAGGGAACGATGTGTGCCATGAATGATTGCATCCACATCGAGTTCAAGGAGGTTTTCTTGGTACACAAACACTCGTACTCCCTGCTTTGTTTGTAATAATTCTGATCCCGGTGGTGGCCTCTTCCTCACCTGTACAGACCCCTTCATGGAAGGCTGAACTGGATGACAAAGATGATTTTCTTTTATCCTGTCGATTGTACTATCTCCGTTTGTATTGCTTCTCTGTTTGTTACTCTGGTCGACATTTCCACCTGCTGTGATTTTGGATATGTATAAGGTGGCACATTGAAGCTCTGGTAAGCTTCCCTCTAGAAAACAAATTCCATTATTTTCGAACCATGTAGCTCCAGATGCCCTGTATATTTCAGAATATATCTTTTCTGGTCTGATGCATTTCTTGACGTCGTCTACAATTGCTGCTTTTAATGGTGCTTTCAAAATCTGTACAATCTGAGAAAGAAAAGAATAAATTTATATCAGAAAAAATACTTATTAAATAAGTCTTGTTTCGGAAAATACATCTCCGAGCACTCGTGTCAAAATAAAATAAAATAATCATGATTCCTCCTTTTCCAAAATGTCCTTGTCTTTACAGAGCAACATAAGGCATGACTCTTATATATCCAGCGGTGTTTATATAAACAACTTCAAAGGTCAAAGGTCAAAATGAAAAACAAAGTTTTGCAAAGGAAATTGCCAGGTTCAAAAATCTTAAAGCATGGAAAGAGCTTTTTTCTTTTTCTTTCATTTCAATTGCAAGAACTAGCTCAGAAAACATGTAAATGCTCTAGGACTACAGACTGGTTTGTGACCCTAAGCATAACCATACTTATTTAAATTATCCCAATTTTGTGTTGACAGGTCATTGTTGTCCCAACACGCACATGAAGTGGGGTACCAGATAAACAAAAATTATCTTCTCTTTCCTAACCTGGATAGTCTCTATTACACAAGAACTTGTATGAATAAGAGATGATAAAATGTTTCACCCTTGAATGTCGGATAGGGGAATCCTAACCCTCAGGGAAAGATTCTTAAGTTGCCAAAGCCTCATGTTTGGCAACTTAAAAAATCTTTCTCTGATGGTTTAGATAATCAATCTCACCTCAACGAGATGAATGATTCTTTTTCTCTTACTTTGTTCACCAATTGTGTATCTACAGACTAAATGCAGGGTTGGTTGACTCGACGTTGATACATAGTTTACGTGACATCATTGTATTGTCGATGTAGCGTCATACAAAAGTCATACAATTGATATGAATAGGGGAATCCCCCTGTCGCAACCCTAAGGTGAGACAAGGATATAGCTTACACCTGCAAAAGTGTGGATACACTTGTCCAGGGAAGGAGAAACATGTTTCTCACATTACAAAACTTGAGATCGTAGAATGATCCTGGTGCCTACCACCAGATGATCTTTATTAAATCTAAAAAAGATTGTCTTTAACCTTTATTTGCTCTTCATTTTCAATGCAAGTACTACAAATGAGTTATAAAGTCCCTTCTTGGAAATCCTAAATAGAAATCTTATACATTAACTTGAACGTATTGTCATTTGTTATTTGCCACAATGACATATAGACTAGTAAACCAATATGCAAAATGCTAAACATTTGTAATTCTTACATAAAAGGAAGTGCTAACAATTACGGATGTATTCTTATTAGCGTTATGGGTATTTTTAACAAGGGGACCAATGTGAACATACATATCTAAGAGCTGTAAAAATTCAAGATGGCTTTCTTAAAAAAGATCCCTCTAATATATACTTTCTGGGAAAAAGCACTAGCAAACTTTAACTCTCAAAATTCATGATGGCCACATGTCCACCATTGTGGTTTTCCAATCAGTCCCTAAATTTGATACACTTGGAACTCCTCGGGTGGCTCGTATGCTGAAGCGAAGCAGAATCAACCGAGGTTTTCCGATTGAAATCGAATATGAAACGCTCGGGATCATGGTAAACTTGTCCTCTATAAATCACAATCTATAAATCAATATGTATAACAATGGGGATTCTTTAAATCGAATTTGAGAAAAATCCCATTTGAGAAATAGCGCTATATGTAATAACAAGAGGCCCAATGGGCCTGCATCGCTCACCTGGTATTAATCTCACACTTGTAATCTTAAAAGTGGACTAAAATACAGTTACAGGCAGAATATCAGTGTTTGATTTAAAAGAACCTATAAAAAGACTTAAACATATGACGCCTGTGACCTTGAATGTCGAACAAGGACATCAGGTTGAAAGTGGATCAAGGTCATTAATTTGATTAAACTTGGTAGTCCTTCATTCCAGCATGCTACAGGCCTAATTCAGTACGCTGGGCCTTTAAGTTATTGAGAAGAAGTTGTTTGAAGATTTTCAGACATTTGACCCCTTTGACCCTGAAAGCTGGTCAAGGTCATACATTTTAACAAACTTGGTAGCCCTTCATCCTAGCATGCTACAGGCCAAATATCAGTACCCTGAGCCTTTTGGTTATTGTGGAGAAGTTGTTTGAAGATTTTAAGACATCGGACCCCAGGGACCTTGAAAGTGGGTCAAGGTCATTTATTTGAACAAACTTGGTAGCCCTTCATCCCAGCATGCTACATGCCCAATATAAGTACCCTGGGCCTTTTGGTTATTGAGAAGAAGTTGTTTGAAGATTTTAAGACATCAGACCCAACTGACCTTGAATGTTGGTCAAGGTCATTCATTTGAACAAATTGGGTAGCCCTTCATCCCAGCATACTACAGGCCCAATATAAGTACCCTGGGCCTTTCGGTTATTGAGAAGTTGTTTGAAGATTTTAAGACATCTGACCCCAGTGACCTTGAAAGTGGGTCGAGGTCATTCATTTGAACAAACTTGATAGCCCTTTATCCCAGCATGCTACAGGCCTAATATCAGTACCCTGGGCCTTTTGGTTATTGAGAAGAAGTTGTTTAAAGTAAAAAGTTGACACTGGACAGACGGATATCGGACGAAGGACGGACGGACGGACACCGCACCATAACATAAGCTCACTTGCCCTTTGGGTAGGTGAGCTAAACATTTACTCTCCAAATTTAAGATGATCACCTGTCAGCAATATTGGTTCTTCAATCAGTTCCAAAATTTGATATGCAAAACTAGGGATCAAAGGAAACCCTCATTTGAAATTTGAGAAAAAATCACTTTAGCTATTCCTGCAACTCTGAGAAATAGTGTTAACAAACACCCAAAATTCAAGATGGCAACCTGTAAGACATCTTGTTTTTTTTATCAGTATCAGACATTGATGTGTTACTTTAGATTATGGGAGATCTTCAAGTGAATGTTCAGAAAGATCCCTCCAGAGCCTTTTGGGAAATAGTTCTTACAAGAATTGTTTAAGGTCAGACCGACTGACCATGGGCAAAGGGTGATTTGAACGGCCTGCAATCTGATGATGGTTGGCAGAAAAGGTTTAAATCTCTTGAAAATCCCACCCTGGATTTGTATTCAAGACAGGCAGGAAACCTTTGCACAATTGTTTACAATTTGTTTAATAATGATTCTATGTGGATATGCTACCTTTTCTCTACATATGATGAAATGCAGATTTTGAACTTTGTATGGTCATAACTTTTTATAGTTATTGTTGAACAGCCTCTGTTTTAGCAAAATTCCATTTCACCATCAGCTACTATAATTTTTGGCCGGAGCATTGTAAAATCAAGTAGAGTTTGTCTTGCATCTTATAGAGCTTACCCACACACCCAGTAGAAACTCTGTATGATAATTAACTTTCAAGTTATCATTCAGAAATGCAACATTATAGTTTTAGCAATTCAGACCAAGTGCAAATTACCTAAAATCGATAAACTTTCCAATCAGTCTTTCTTCTTGTAAGTGATCACACTGACACGTACAATAAAGAAGTTCTATCATGTAGTAGCAGTGGCCTTGACATCTGACAGACCATGCCCAAAATCAATAGGGTTTTCTACATCCACCATGGCAACTAAAATACCAAGTTTGAACCCTCAGAAGATCATTATTATCTGGAAAAGTATCATGGACAGACAGAGAGATGTGCTGATATCTTGCATAACAACTGTCTCGCCAATTTGATTTTGGGAGGAGGGGATAAAAAGTGGGATTTTAAAGATTTACATATATTTCCCTTATTGGGCTTTGCTCTGCCACTCCTAGGGGGCCATACATATGTTATGAGTCCCCTTAAACTGAGGATGCTCCAGACCTCATCTTATTGAAATTCCTTGAACGCTACTAAAAAAGTAATATCTTGCAGAATTAACCTGATTTCTGTAATTGGGCCAACTCACCTACCCCAAGGGTGTGCGATAGAGATGATGATTTTTTTTGTCAATTCCATTGATAGAATAGAAATAAACAACTTGTTTTTAAATTTCAAATCCTTGGTCTGCATTTTCATTTTGTCATATCAGTTGTCCTAAAATTGTTTCGTTAAGGTGCATTTTTTCTACAGTGAACACCTTCTGTCAGATATACCAGTACACTTTGATTTCAATTCTAACGAATAAATCTTAAAATCTTAAAATCAAAATCATGAAGAGAAGGTCGCAGGTACCTCATTTAGGCACAATGCATGATTTCTATGTACATTATATCATAAATCACCAGTAAGTTTACTTGTAATAAAATACACCAGTAATATTAGTTGTACTATATTAAAATAGTTATATCACTTGAAAAATATTACAGAAGTTATATATCATTTAGATGTATCTCCAAGCATTGGCTTAATTCATGGATACCCCTACGCTCACCATATCAATAAAGTTTGAAGACCATTTATGAAGCTGTGGCTAATATAGATTGCTGTGGAAAAATGTATAACACTGTTTTTAATAACTGAGGTGAAGGTCAGTGGTCAAACTGAAGACACAGTGAACTCATTTATGATATGCAACACACATACTGTACCTATATATAAAACGTGTGATGCTCAATCATGAACAGGAGCTGAGATACTAAGATCTCGGTTTAGGATGTGACACAATGATGTATATATATTTATTATATTTTAATAAGGTTTGATGTATTAATTCAACATTAGCTGAGATATGTTCCAGAAACCATTACATTAATACTTAAGGTAAAGGTCAAATTGAGGTCAAGTTGAGATTTTGTTTATAGATGCAACACACAGCCTTCCAATGATAAACCTTTATAAAAAAAATGTTTGATTCAAATTCATGAAACAGCAGCTGAAATATTCTCCTGAAACTATTATTTTGGTACTTGAGGTCAAGATCAAAGGTCAAATTGAGGCCAAAGTACCTCATTTTAGGATGTGACCCATCACCTTCCTTGTTGTACCTTTGTTGTACCTTATTGCAAAGTTTGATGCCAGTTAATAAAAAAAGCAGCTGAAATGCCCCAAGCAAGGTCGAAATCAGTCGCATGATGTACAAACTGTGATGCGCATTTGTAAAAAAGAGTTGCAGAGATATGCTCAAGAAAACCAAATTAGCATGGACAGACACAGCCCCAGAAGGACGAACAAAGCAAATACTACACATCCCACACTATGTTCACAGCGATGGCATAAAAAAAATAAAAAAATCCAGATAATTGACAGTTGTTATGACAACACCGGATAGTTTACTTGAATTACACACACTCTGAGGTTGAGCTATATTACCTGGCAAGGGAATTTATTTACGGTATATTGATCACTGTTTTTTTTCAACAGTTTGCCAGCATCTGAAAGTCAAAATCAGGAAAATCAGAAACAGTATCACTTAATGTTCATTTAATGATAAAAAGCACATGTACAGGAAGGACTCCAGTTAAATGTATTTGATGTACAGATGCAAATTTAAATACATAATGTTTGACATAGCAACTTTATTGTGACTGTACAGTTGTCATGAGAGTGACTTCAACAACACTGACCGAGTCCAACCATAATACACAAATCTATGAAATTGTGTAAGAACATATTTATCCAATGATAAGCTATGGGTATGAAACACGTTACAATTAATTGACTACTGACATTGGCATGTGTAACCGGAATGGGAAAGAAAAATGTCCAATAACCCAGATTAAAACCGAAGACCTGAAACTCTAGCGAGATGCTCTAACCAACTGAGCTACTTCAGGCCACCTGTGATCACCCCATCCCAGTTCTGCTGCATTCCTCCCTCCTTCAAAAATCTTTTTGACCCTGAAGTTTCCGTACCACCTTCCGTTGGTATGGCTAGTTGGATATAACTATAACAGAAAAGGGAAAATGCAACTGAACTCTAGATGGATGCTCTAACCAATTAAGCTATATATTACAGGTCACCAGAAAGTATGAGACACATTACAGTTCCACCCTTGACCTTATAGTCAAATAATAGAATTTGACACACCCTCCAATCACAATACAATAGATACCACTTTCATATAATTAACAGGATTATTGGAATAGCTATTAAGAGGGCCTATATCGCTCACCTGTATATCTAAGCAGTCATAGCAAACTATTCTCATTTAATATTATACTGTACTACAACTATTTCCAAATATTGGCTCTGTCTCTAAGCAACACTCTTACATATTTGGGTCCTATCCCTCTGTCCCCATCGGGTTTGGGAAATGGTTTATACATCATTTTATCATATTGGGCCAACGACACTCTATATCGAATTAGATAGATAAAGCTGTAGCATATAAATCCTTACCAATGACTCTTGGTTATTCAAAACCACCTGTTACAATATCTTAACACATTTATCTTTATTGCCTTGAAAGTAGGTAAAGGTCATTTTCATTTGCAAACTTTGTTGGGCTCCATCTAAAAAAGCTACCTTTTAATTACATGACTCTATGCCTTTCACTTCTTCAAAATAATTCGTTTGAAGTTTTAACAGTTATTAACAGTTTTTGACCCATGTTACATTGAAAGTGGGTTCAGGTAATTTTCACTTTGTCGGGCCCCATCGGTGGAAGCTACCAGCCAAATATTTTTATATAAGTCTATGCCTTTTGGTTCTTCAGAAGAAGTCGTTTTTAAATGTTTGACATATTTGACCCAGGTGATCTTGTTAGTAGGGCAAGGACATTTCCTTCTCAAATTTTGTTGGCTTTAATTCCAAAGCAGATACCAGCCAAATATTATGAATCTTCACCTTTCGATTCTTTTTCAGACGTCGCTTGAAATGTCTGACATATTTGACCCGTGTGACAAGTAGGTGTAGGTGCTTTTCATTTTCTACCTTTGTTGTGCTCAATCCCAAGAAGCTACAAGCCAAACATTAAGATTCCATATCGTCCAGTTCTTCAGAAGAAGTGGTTAAAAGTGTTTGATACATTTGACGCCTGTGACCTTGAAAGAAGGTCAAAGGTATTTTTTTTGTTCTCAAAGTCTATTGGGCTCTTACCAACGAAGCTTGCAGCCAGATAACATGACTCTAGGCCTTTCCATTCTTCAGGAGAAGTTGTTTAAAAGAAAAATTGAAGGATATGACAGACGGACGACAGATGCCGCATCACGACATAAGCTCACTAGACCTTCGGGCAGGTGAACTAAAAATGTAAGTATGTCTTAGTGCCATCTTTGAAATTGCAAATGGACAGTGGTAAACAAAATATTTAACAAGAGGCCCAGGGACCTTAAGAGCTCAGTGGGGATTCAATAGTTTAATTAAAAGCCTGCTGAATACCATACACTTTTATCAAGTATAATACATGGATTCTTCAGGAGTTGTTTTATTGTTTAGCAACATTTAACCCCTGTCATCTCAATAATAGCTCAAGTTCATTTGTATTTACGCAATGTGTAAGCCTCAATTCCAGAAAGCTTACTGTCAAATATCATGACTCTAGATTATTTGGATATTTAGAAGAAGTCATTTGAAGTATAAGACACATTTGACCTCTGTGACATGAAAGCAGACCAAGGTAATTTTTGTTCACAAACTTTATTAGGGTCCGTCCAAGGAATCTAAAGGCCTTATGTCATGACTTATATTATTATATAACTGCCATGTGAATTAAAAAGTGCATAATCTGAATATTGAAGTCAGTTTGTATGAACGGCTCTGTTGCTTGAACTATTTACATGGCAAACAGTGAACAAAGTTATATCATTGTATTACTGAAAATCTGTATTATAAACAAAAACATTACTGGTCTGAATACATCATAATTTACTAGATATAGGTGAAAATTTCAGAATTTCAAAGATGCCAGTTTGTTTACATGTGTGCTGCTGCCATCACGTTTGAGGTTCGAATCATATTGCAAACAGTTTGCCAGATAACTAGTTTAAAGTCCATACAGGAAGTTTGCAGCAAATTTGTAGCAAGCTTGTTGAAAACAAAAAATTGCCCCAAAGTTGCAATAAACAGGTTACTCCAAAGTTGCCTAAACTGTTTGTCAGAAAAAAAATGCATACGAAATGTAATCAGCTGTGTCAAACCAGAATCCTTTCATTTCTGTAAAGGTGACTTGCCATTTTGACATGGTAATGTAATCATTGATTTGACATTTTGACATGGTGCTGTAATCAGATCCTTTAGTGTATATACCTATGTGTTGTTTACAGGGATCCGGACATGGCACTGGATACACCCCCTTCATTGACAAAGCTGAAGCTAAAACTTTACTTACAAATGATAAACAGTGACACAAAAACATAATAATTAGGCTTGCTTGCCCTTTATCATCAGACACAACAGATTAAAATCGTATACATCAACTTTAGGATTTAAGAATCTAATAAATTACCATTTGAAGACTGGAGTATGATGAGTGCTTCCATATCCTGTAGGAATGGCCAAACAACTGTAAAATTCTCAAAACCAGTTTGCTTCAACCAGACCTCCACCATAGCTTTTTCAAGTGTTGAAAAATATTTGGACTTTAGTACCAGGCGCCTTCCTTCATATTCTGATGTTTGAAGAATTGTGCTGAATCAAAGGATAACAAATGTTTGAAAACAATCAATATCTGAAATCAGGAGGTCCATAGTGCTTACAGTGCTCCACCATTTTTCTTTTTTTATTACATGAATCCCCTTGATGATCTACATTCAACCACTCATTTCGATGTCCAAGGACCAAGGATGTTCCATAGCAAACTAGGATGAGATATTTGTACAAGTGTGTATGATTTTAGGATGGGGATCTCAATCATTTCTATCTTGACCACACATGGGACTATTAATCATCAGGAGTGGGGCAAGATCCTTAAGCTAATCCCGGAGTATATGGTTCAAAGTTCATCTTTTAATGGTCAACAAGTGGATGCATGGGGTATCACGAAATTTCTAAGAATGATACATATTGCAAAAATACAATTATCAAAAGAATTGTAGAATTAAAGTTTTCCATCTACTGCGATAAGTGAGAAAATAAAATCAATGTTTAACTAACATGGTACACATAAGACTGATGAAATAACAGAAAGCTTGATACTGATTAGATCACTTATTCAGTAAGAGTTATCCACATGTAATGGTTTCTCATGCTATTACAGAGTAGCCCTATAATCCTGAATTGATATCATTTACAGTTAAGACTTATAATGTGCAAGTAATTGTTACCTCTCAGTTACAGGTGAAGATTTGTGATCAACCTGTGCCCAGCTATACTGTGGTGCTGGTTTGGTATCTAAAAAAAAAGAGGAGTCTCAGTAAATTTTGGGATAAATGTGAAAATAAAATGTACTGCAAAACCAAATTGAAATGACTGACTTTGAAGAGGTGATTTTCAAGTACCTTGTTTGTTTTTTACCAGACAATAGTCTGAGACAGTAGTCGCCCTTCACACTTAATTATTAACTTGTATTCACTGTCTGGGATCAAAGCATAAGGCATCACAACATAATCATGATCAATTCCATATTCAGAATGATATTCATCAGTTTGGTAAGAATGATGAATGCTCCTTTTGTTCGAGTACAAACAGTTATTGAAAACTTTATCAACCCATCTGGGTTAAGGGGGAGGGGAATCGATGAACAGAGACAAGCGGGGCGACCAGCTTATTCATCTTTATGACCTCATTGTAACATCCACTACATGGTAATGGGATGGGGATATCGACGGTTTCAAAGTTATGGCTCAGGAGTTAAGTCCTTATGGGTGAGGCAAAACCCCACAAAAAGGTTGAGTCCCTTTATTTACACAATTTGAAATCCCAACTCCTAAGGATGCTTTCAAGCAAACATGGTTGATATCATTCTCTGATTCTTTTAGTTTCACAAAAGAAGTTGCTTGAAGCAATGTGGCCAAATTACCCCTTTTGGCCCCGCCCCTCACAGACCCCTGGATGGTTAGCTCCTCCATTTGTACTATTTTGAATCCCTTCCATCTATGGATGCTTCCAATCAAATATGGTTAATATCTTTCTCTTTCTCTCAGAGAAGGAGTTGCTTAAAGCAATACGGCCAATTTCCCCTTTTTGGCCCCCCATCTTTGCCCCCCCCCCCCCCATCTAAGGATGCTTCAAATCAAATATGTTTGATATCCTTCCCTTATTTTCACGGAAGAGGTCTCTTGAAGCAATATGGCCAAATTACCCCTTTTGGGTACCACCCTTCAGCCCCCTTGGGGCTCAGCCCCTCCATTTGTACAATATCAAATCCCCACCCCCTAGGGATGCTTCAAACTAAATATGTTTGATATCCCTCTCTTAGTTTCTGGGAAGAGGTCACTTAAAGCAATATGGCTCAGCCCCTTCATTTGTACATTTTGGAATCCCAACCACTTTCAGTCAAATGTGTGTATCAATTCCAATGAGCGGTTAATGAGAAGAAGTCTTTTGAAGCAATTGTTGATGGACATACGATGGACGGAATGACAAACGACAGAGCTGCAGTATGGCATACGGTCACATCGGTCCTTTTGACCAGGTGAGCTAATAAATTCAAATATCAAAGAACTTCAACTCTTAGAAAGTCCTAAACTTTAATAATTCATATCTTAAATGTTCTGCGAGTTCATTTTTTTGTGATTTCTGTTAATTATTTCATAAATATTATACTATTTCAAGCAATATTCACGGAAATATAGGCTTGGGATTATGTTTCTAGGTTGATACATGTATGTACCAAGGTAACAACATTAATTCACAAACTTTATACTTTTCATGATCTGAAATTACTAACATGCTTCCAAATTGAAATGAATTTGTAATATGATTTATACCTCCCCAAGATTTGTAAACACGTGGAGGCCGCACTGGTTTGGGCGAGTTTTGATCAGTGGTAGTACCAGTTGGAGATGGTGTCAGTTCAGTCTGATGTTGTGTCTGAAAATTGAAACAAATTGAATTTACAAGAATAAATAAATTCTTAAATCTGATATTATCGTCGGAAATGAAAGTATTACCATATGGACAGACAGCATTACTATATGGTATCTGTATCTTTGACGAGGGCCTTACTATGGATGAACAACATAACTATACAGAATCTGTATCTCTGACTGGGGCCTTAATTACTATGGACTAACAACATTACTATACAACATCTGTATCTCTGACAGGGGGCCTTTAACATTACTATACAGAATCTGTATATCTGACCGGGGCCTTACTATAGACTAACAACATTACTATATGGCTTGTGTATCTCTGACTGGGGCCTAACTATGGACTAACAACATTATTAAACATCATCTGTATCTCTGACGGGAGCCTTACTATGGACTAACAACATTACTATACAGCATCTGTATCTCTGACGGGAACCTTACTATGGACGAACAACATTACTATACATCATCTGTATCTCTGACGGGAGCCTTACTATGGACGAACAACATTACTATACAGCATCTGTATCTCTGACAGGAGCGTTACTATGGACTAACAACATTACTATACAGAAAATGTATCTCTGACAGGAGCCTTACTATGGACAAACAACATTACTATACAGCATCTGTATCTCTGACGGGGGCCTTACTATGGACGAACAACATTACTATACAGAATCTGTATCTCTGACGGGGGCCTTACTATGGAAGAACAACATTACTATACCACATCTGTATCTCTGACAGGAGCCTTACTATGGACAAACAACATTACTATACGGCATCTGTATCTCTGACAGGAGCCTTACTATGGAAGAACAACATTATTATACAGCATCTGTATCTCTGACAGGAGCATTACTATGGACTAACAACATTACTATACAGCATCTGTATCTCTGACGGGGGCCTTACTATGGAAGAACAACAATATTATACAGCATCTGTATCTCTGACAGGAGCCTTACTATGGACTAACAACATTACTATACAGAATCTGTATCTCTGACAGGAGCCTTACTATGGACGAACAACATTATTATACAGCATCTGTATCTCTGACAGGAGCCTTACTATGGACTAACAACATTACTATACAGCATCTGTATCTCTGACAGGGGCCTTACTATGGACTAACAACATTACTATACAGCATCTGTATCTCTGACTGGGGCCTTACCATGGACAAACAACATTACTATACAGCATTTGTATATCTGACTGGGGCCTTACTATGGATGAACAACATTACTATATAGCATCAGTATCTCTGACTGGGGCCTTACCATGGACAAACAACATTACTATACGGCATTTGTATATCTGACTGGGGCCTTACTATGGACAAACAACATTACTATACAGCATCTGTATCTCTGACAGGGGCTTTACTATGGACTACCAACATTACTATACAGCATCTGTATCTCTGACGGGGGCCTTACTATGGACGAACAACATTACTATACATCATCGGTATCTCTGACGGGGGCTTTACTTTGGATGAACAACATTACTATACAGCATCTGTATCTCTGACAGGAGCCTTACTCTGGACTAACAACATTACTATACAGGAAATGTATCTCTGACAGGAGCATTGCTATGGACAAACAACATTACTATCCAGCATCTGTATCTCTGATGGGGGCCTTACTATGGACGAACAACATGACTATACAGCATCTGTATCACTATGGACGAACAACATTACTATACAGCAGCAGTATCCCTGACAGGAGCCTTGCTATGGACAACCAACATTACTATACAGCATTTGTATATCTGACTGGGGCCTTACTATGGACTAACAACATTACTATACAGAAAATGTATCTCTGACAGGAGCCTTGCTATGGACAAACAACATTACTATACAGCATCTGTATCTCTGATGGGGGCCTTACTATGGACGAACAACATTACTATACAGCATCTGTAGCTCTGACGGGGGCCTTACTTTGGATGAACAACATTACTATACAGCATCTGTATCTCTGATGTGGGCCTTACTATGGACGAACAACATTACTATACAGCATCTGTATCTCTGACTGGGGCCTTACCATGGACAAACAACATTACTATACAGCATTTGTATCTCTGACTGGGGCCTTACTATGGACGAACAACATTACTATACAGCATCTGTATCTCTGACTGGGGCCTTACTATGGACAAACAACATTACTATACAGCATTTGTATCTCTGACTGGGGCCTTACTATGGATGAACAACATTACTATATAGCATCTGTATCTCTGACTGGGGCCTTATATGGACAAACAACATTACTATACAGCATCTGTATCTCTGACTGGGGCCTTACTATGGACTAACAACATTACTATACATCATCGGTATCTCTGACGGGGGCTTTACTTTGGACGAACAACATTACTATACAGCATCTGTATCTCTGACTGGGGCCTTACTATGGACTAACAACATTAACTACTATACAGCATCTGTATCTCTGACAAGAGCCTTACTATGGACGAACAACATTACTATACAGCATCTGTATCTCTGACAGGAGCCTTACTATGGACTAACAACATTACTATACAGCATCTGTATCTCTGACGGGGGCCTTACTATGGATAAACAACACTACTATACAGCATCTGTATCTCTGACAGGGGCCTTACTATGGTCTAACAACATTATTATACAGAATCTGTATCTCTGACGGGGGCCTTACTTTGGATGAACAACATTACTATACAGCATCTGTATCTCTGACAGGGGCTTTATTATGGACTAACAACATAACTATATGGCGTGTGTATCTCTGATAGGGGGCCTTACTATGGACAAACAACATTACTATACAGCATCTGTATCTCTGCCGGGGATTTGCTGTGGATGAACAACATTACTATACAGCATCTGTACATGTATCTCTGTCAGGGGGCCTATACTATGGATAAACAGCATTACAATACGGCATCTGTATCTCTGACAGGAGCCTTACTATGGACTAACAACATTACTATACAGCATCTGTTTCTCTGACGGGGGCCTTATATGGACAAACAACATTACTATACAGCATCTGTATCTCTGACGGGGGCCTTATATGGACAAACAACATTACTATACATCATCTGTATCTCTGACAGGGCCTTACTATGGATGAACAACATTACTATATGGCATTTGTATCTCTGAAGGGGGGCTCACTTTTCAGTAATGGTTTCTTCTATTTACCTTATTATACACAACAAGATGACGTAAAAAATAGTTTATCGTTGGAGCATAAACTGATGATGGAGTCGCACATTAAGATGGATGTAGTAACGAAAAGCCAAAATATGTCATCCTACGGCAACCATTTAAATAGAGACAGTGTACGGTGTAAGAGGGTAAAAACCTGAACATTGCTGATTTTGTTTTTCAATTGTTGAATGGCTTTCTCAATGCTGTCTTCCAATTTGCCAGCAACTGACAAATTTGCTCTATAAATCTTCTTTGTGGAGTTTCCAGCAGATTTTTGCTGAGCATTTGTCTCCCTTGTCATACTCCTGGTCTGGACACCCCTAGTAGCTCCTAAGGGTTCTTCACCTGTCCATGAAAATTGATAATGTATTTTTATCTTAAAGGATGCATTTTTTTGTACCAAAAGTACTTCAAATCTGGTTTATAAACTCTGACGCAAGAGGCCCTGAGGGCCTGTATGACCTATCTTGATATTTAAGTAAAATACTCTCATTAAACTTTCCCAGGGTTTGGGCCGGACCCCAGAATCAACTCTGGAAGCATGTATGTATCAAAATCTTCACGCTTGATAACTGTACATTTTTCTATATGGAGGTGATCTCAACCGCTATTGTTGTGCGTCAGGGACAGAACCTCAGAGGCCAATGATTAGACACCTGTATTAGGTTTTGTCATGTCCATCAATTGTATATATATATATATTTTATAGTTTTGGGATCCCAACCATTTCCATGCTGAGACAGAAACTAAGTCCTCAGGGGCGGACACTGAGTGACCCCAGGGCCTATCCTGGAAACTTAAGATAAAAAAAATCTTTCCCCACCTTGGGAGTAAGACAGAAACATCTTAACCCAAGGGGAAAGATTCTTAAATGTGTAGCCCAAGGCTTTGCCAAGAGCCAGACTTTTAAGAATTTTGCCCCAAGGGTTGAGATTTTTCCGTTTTTCTCCTAAAGTGGGGAATGATTACTTTTCTCCCACATCAAAAACAGATGGTAAATTTCATGAAATGCCAATGTTTTTACATAATTAACAGCATATTGGAGTTATCTTTCGTTATCTACTATTGTTGATGTGAAGTCATTACATTGTTGACATGACATTATACAATCGTTATGACAGGGGGATCCCCCATCTTTACCCAGGGTAAGACAGAAATATCTTTCCCTGACCGGAAGTGTGGATATCTCTGTCATATATGGGGTAGAAATATTGGTCTCTATATACTCACGAAATCTCAACCAGAGAGGTGTTTGTTTGTTTTTGTTTTACGTTCAATTAACAGCTACGGTCATTGAAGGACATGCCAGGTTTTGGTGGTGGAGGAAAACTGGATAACTCAAAGAAAAGTCGCTAACCATTAGTCAGTACCTCAGGCCACCACCCCACGAAGGTCTCAAACTCACAACTAAGAGGTTTAATGATCATAGATATTCAGATGCCTTCATTAACCACTCCCCACCGTAGCTTGACCAGACAAGTGACATTCTTGATTGCCTAACCTGTAGCTAGCCTCAACCTAAGGGTAAGACATTCAGGAATCTGACCACCGAGGGTTCAGACTTCTCTAACAAACCCTCAACCCATGACAGATAAATTCAAATATACACATACCAGTGACAGTCTCATTTTGTCTATGACAGATAAAATAAAATATAACCATACCAGTGACAGTCTCATTTTGTCTATGACAGATAAAATCAAATATAAACATACCAGTGACAGTCCTATTTTGTCTATGACAGATAAAATCAAATATAAACATACCAGTGACAGTCCTATTTTGTCTATGACAGATAAAATCAAATATACACATACCAGTGACAGTCCTATTTTGTCTATGACAGATAAAATCAAATATAAACATACCAGTGACAGTCTCATTTTGTCTATGACAGATAAAATCAAATATAAACATACCAGTGACAGTCTCATTTTGTCTATGACAGATAAAATCAAATATAAACATACCAGTGACAGTCTCATTTTGTCTATGACAGATAAAATCAAATATAAACATACCAGTGACAGTCTCATTTTGTCTATGACAGATAAAATCAAATATAAACATACCAGTGACAGTCTCATTTTGTCTATGACAGATAAAATCAAATATAAACATACCAGTGACAGTCTCATTTTGTCTATGACAGATAAAATCAAATATAAACATACCAGTGACAGTCTCATTTTGTCTATGACAGATAAAATCAAATATAAACATACCAGTGACAGTCTCATTTTGTCTATGACAGATAAAATCAAATATAAACATACCAGTGACAGTCTCATTTTGTCTATGACAGATAAAATCAAATATAAACATACCAGTGACAGTCTCATTTTGTCTATGACAGATAAAATAAGTTATAAACATTCCAGTGACAGTCTCATTTTGTCTATGACAGATAAAATAAATTATAAACATACCAGTGACAGTCTCATTTTGTCTATGACAGATAAAATAAAATATAACCATACCAGTGACAGTCTTATTTTGTCTATGACAGATAAAATCAAATATAAACATACCAGTGACAGTCCTATTTTGTCTATGATAGATAAAATCAAATATAAACATACCAGTGACAGTCCTATTTTGTCTATGATAGATAAAATCAAATATAAACATACCAGTGACAGTCTTATTTTGTCTATGATAGATAAAACCAAATATAAACATACCAGTGCCAGTCTTATTTTGTCTATGATAGATAACATCAAATATAAACATACCAGTGACAGTCTCATTTTGTCTATGATAGATAAAATCTAATATAAACTTACCAGTGAGCGTCTCATTTTGTCTATGACAGATAAAATCAAATATAAACATACCAGTGACAGTCTCATTTTGTCTATGACAGATAAAATCAAATATAAACATACCAGTGACAGTCCTATTTTGTCTATGATAGATAAAATCAAATATAAACATACCAGTGACAGTCCTATTTTGTCTATGATAGATAAAATCAAATATAAACATACCAGTGACAGTCCTATTTTGTCTATGATAGATAAAACCAAATATAAACATACCAGTGACAGTCTTATTTTGTCTATGATAGATAAAATCAAATATAAACATACCAGTGACAGTCCTATTTTGTCTATGATAGATAAAACCAAATATAAACATACCAGTGACAGTCTTATTTTGTCTATGATAGATAAAATCAAATATAAACATACCAGTGACAGTCCTATTTTGTCTATGATAGATAAAACCAAATATAAACATACCAGTGACAGTCTTATTTTGTCTATGATAGATAAAATCAAATATAAACATACCAGTGACAGTCCTATTTTGTCTATGATAGATAAAATCTAATATAAACTTACCAGTGAGCGTCTCATTTTGTCTATGACAGATAAAATCAAATATAAACATACCAGTGACAGTCTCATTTTGTCTATGACAGATAAAATAAAATATAAACATACCAGTGACAGTCCTATTTTGTCTATGATAGATAAAATCTAATATAAGCATACCAGTGCCAGTCTTATTTTGTCTATGATAGATAAAACCAAATATAAACATACCAGTGACAGTCCTATTTTGTCTATGATAGATAAAATCAAATATAAGCATACCAGTGCCAGTCTTATTTTGTCTATGATAGATAAAACCAAATATAAACATACCAGTGACAGTCTTATTTTGTCTATGATAGATAAAACCAAATATAACATACCAGTGACAGTCTTATTTTGTCTATGATAGATAAAATCTTATATACACATACCTGTGACAGTCTTATTTTCCACTAGTCTATCAGCATATCTAGACCTGATATGTGATTCTGTGGCCTTGTAAAGATGTTCTGAATCCAACATTATTTCCACTCTTCTCAAAGCCTTGTTCTTTCCACCAAATTGTCTCAGTGCATCATGTAATTGGTTCACAAATTGTGCCTTCAATCTTGTCAGTGGTTCTGTGCCAAAACAAAAATTAATGCAGATTTGAAATTACTTAAGCTAGATGACTGTATTGTAACCCTTTTGCAATCAGGTGATGATATGAAGGTGATGTGATATATTTCAAATTACACAATAAATCAACTTATGTGGAACTCCTTTTTTGCACTTATAATAGAACATTAAACTATAGTTGATCCTAAATTTGAAGAGCAGCTTTAAAGAGTAACAACCTAAAACAAATATATTCTTAAGTTGCAGTGATGGCCTTTTTTGTATTGAAGTATACCAAGAACGAAAATAAAAATGAATATAATTATTATAATATAATTATGATCCAAAAACAAAAATATCGAAAACCGCATAAAAATCGGCCAGCAACACCCAATTCTGTGATATTAACATGTAAAGCGTACGATTTTTACCTATCCTTCTACTTATAATTAGCGTAATAGTAACTCGCGGTAAATGTGACCTTATCGGACATCACAAGTTCCACGACTGAAGCAGCCACTGTAGAAGGAATAGGCTAGATCGAGAACAGCCATACCGCGTTAGATTGTGAATTAATATAGGTTTTGAGGAATCAAATTCCACTCCTTTAGCCTACTTGGGTGTGAAATTTGTGTACAGATAAATAACACTAAACACACCTATGTCCAGTGGTGACAGCACGAGGCCCACGACACACCTTTATACCTGTGTCCAGGTATGACATCAAAGGGATGTCAGCAGGTGGGCAAGGGGGTACCTAAAGTTAGTACATGTATGTACATTGTATATTGGTGTAGATTTATGTGTCTTCCAATTTTCCATTTAGCAACAATTAATGTCCTCAGGTTCTGGTTCAATGAAAAATTACGATTAATTGTGAGACTTGAACAAACAGGTTTTCCCTCTGCAAGATTCTTAAAATTGGTGTGTATATTTATATGTTACAAATGAAAGATGGGTATTTGTAAACTTCCTTAATTCTCTGTATTGCATAAAGAATAAAAATATTAATTATCAACTTCCCTATACCTATATTTAATGCAACTATATAAGACAACTTATGTCACAAACAGTACATATTTATTCACAATGTTTTAAGTTTTTATAACTGGGTCGCTGCTGTTTTTATTTGTCAATTTCAATTGTATATCTCCCGTATTTAAAGACATCTGCATACAGCACAGCGTTTGCCTGCTCAATAGGAACACATTTAATCTTTAAGATTGTAAAAGAAGTCATTATATGTAAGTAGCACTTTAAATATTACCTACACAAGTAAGTGGCGATGGAATATAATCATATAGATAGCTAATAAGCTCGCGTATCAAACTCATGATCAAAGCCTCCCGGTATATTCATATAGGGCTGTTTCGACAGCGTTGAACTTGTGACGTCACAGATGGGGGCTACCCATATTGAGGTGATCACCGCTGAGCCAAAGGTGTGTTTTTCAGATAAATCAAAATTTCTCGGAAACGGAGTCAACTACGACGTTTGCAGTTTCTTAGCCTTTTATTGTATCATATAAAGCATTTTCATAGCTTGATAAAGCAAAACGTTCAGGGTACACTTTAAGAGGTTATAAGATTAAAAGCTAAAATCTGACCTTGTAAATACATGATGTTACAGATGCAGAAAGGATATGGAGCAATTGCAACTGAATTCAATACAAATTTCTAACCTATTTTCTTATTATGTTCATAATTTCTATCAATATCAAACTCCAATACCATAAAAATTCTAAAAATAACATAAATGATTCTAATTATGGACATGGTTTTCTCACAAGTCTTGTACATAGGATTAGAATTAGCATACAGGACCATTATAATGTAAACTACAGCAGAAAACAATCGTTTACCTTTTGTGCCAAGAGATAAGACGACAGAAGTACATCTGCAGCTGTCAGCTTCAGCCAATACTGACATCACGGTTTGTAAGTCAATATTGTCTCCCTTTATCAGACAATGGATTACTGCTTTAAATGGGAGAGAGCCTGCACCTGTCACAACTGTCATGCCTTTGCTGCTCAGAAGCTCTCCTATTAAGAAAACGTGAACACATGAAATGACAACAAAGAAATTGATTTAAAAACAACTGAATAACCATGATTTCACCGAGTTATAATGTTGTCTTGTCTATCCTAGCTGGACAATGTAGATTTTAGTGAGAGAGACACCAGGGATATATTATCAACCATCGAAATCCCTGAGCGAACTTCCTGTTGATGCATCAATGATTTTAATAAGAAAGGGACTGTGCTTGTGAAATGTTTGTTATTGCATTTATAGTTGGAACTTGTAACCATAAAGTTAAGTTCCACACAATTCTAATTCAAGTAGCATTGACCTTTGGCAAATCACATCCAAGACGAATACTATTCTTCCTCTATTTTAGGGCAACATATATTGAGCTTTGCAAAATTATTGTTCTGAAATTAGGATTGGACAAAGTTCTAGATATTTTCAGTTTAAGTCAACCTTTAATGGACCATACTCCATTGGTCAACCACCATACCAAGTCTGAGCTTTAATGCAATCAATTGTTCAGGTGACATATATACCTTTTTGGTAACAATGACCTTGACCTTTGATATTAACCACATCGAGAATAAGTAGGTAGCCGGGGGTCCTTACCTCTTTTCTAGGGGATACCAAGTTCTGTTAGTCTGAGCTTTGTGTGATCATTTGTTCTAAAGTTATAGGATCCAGACCAAAAACCCCCCATTAATACAGGTCTTCCTCTTCCCTTGGGCACCCTACACATATCGAGCATAATGAGCTGGTGCAATAACTTGTTCAAATTGGTCAATACAAATTTACACCACTTGTGATAATGTTACATTGTAAGTGCTCATGGTTTGGGGAAAACATTATCAGCAAAATGTTAATTCAGGCATGAAACCTTGTGTGATGTTGACATTTAAGTCCAGCGTGCCAAAATGTATTTGCAGATTTAAATATGTCTGTTGTAGTATGACATTCACCATATCCTGAAGATTTATCTTCAATATGTTTTGATTTTAGTTGTTTATATTTTTTAAATTGAGAATATTTAATTCAATCTTACGTTTGCTCTGCAAAACATTGACTCCTCCTGGATTTATGTTTTCATTGAAGTAGGAACAAGGCAAGGGTGATTCTGAAATGGAAATCAGTTCAATTGTCTTACCTACACATCAGCTCTTTTACAACCTACCTTCCTTCATGTAGGAGAACACATGCACAACTGAATACAATACCTAAAGTGACACTATTACTGTAATTATCATTGTCAACTTGTGGTAAATCACGCACCTCTTCATACCACATTTATTGAAATTGACACACAATTATTTCATTCACTTACCATATTTGTTTATGTGAATTTATATCCAGCACACAATACATATAAATGAAGATTTTAATGCATGCTTAATATCCCTTTTTAGAACAACACCCTTTCAGTGGTCACAAGATGGCTACCTGCTCTGGGGTAAAAAAAGGAGCCAGAAACATTTGAATATTTTCTTGTTTGCGCCTGCTTTTGTGACTTTCCATTAACATGACAGACTGATAAACAGTGGATATTTTGTGGTTTCCTGTTGAAAGGTACAATAATAGACAATTATTGAGTATTGCAAAAAATAGCAATATTTCTCACAAGAGCGGCACAACAAGAAGCATTGGTAAATCTGCCACAGCCTGGTTGACACTTGTTTAATAAATATGCAAGGCAAAATTGGTTACTATTGAGTAGCTATAGGTAGCCTCATTAGTTATATGTGAATATGTATGAATCAAAATGACATCCAAACATGGACTGACACCTACCAATATAAAAAAAAAGCACACCAAATTTGGTTGAACTCCAACCACTTTTAGGGGGAGTTAATAGTACAGGAACTAAGCACGTTACAGACTGTCGATGGACCCATAGACATATGTACCACAGCAGATGTATCTGATGGTGGTACCTAACCTTTTTTTTTGGGGGGGGGGGGGGGAAATTATAGGACCATTTCTTTACAATATACAATAGACAATTTCCATATATTCAGTGTTTTAGTGGTGATACACCTCAGCCTTTACCTAACATGTACATACATTCCAATATGAACAGTTATCCAAAATAGGACAATTCCTTTTTAAGTCTTTATCAAGTCTTTTCAAGTTTCTGATTCTGACCGTCCATAGCTTTTTACTAAAAGGATCTCCATCTCTTTACACAATAGATCGACCACAACAGATCAGACACATCAGTCACATTCTTACTGCAACAACAAAAGTTTGGAAACTTTACAGTACATGCTTGAACAAATTTAATATCAAAGGAGAATTTCACGGCACTAGTATACATAATTATGAGAAATATGATGCTTGTTCAAGAGAGTGTTCTATGGTTACTAAGTGAAGAACTAGGTAAAATGAAAACTTGACTGAATTAAATTCATGTAAATTTCAACTGGTTACCATTGCAACCTTAACTGGAAACACAAATATGTTCATAAAAAGTGCAGGGAAGCTATCATGATTTAAAAATGAAGTGATTGGAAAATGCAATTAATGCTTTTGAATTTTGATGGAATAAAAAGGTCTGAATGATACAATTATAGTCCTTTATGCAAAAATTCACATCTTGTAAAATATAAGAGAGTTACAGTCAAATGCTATCATAATTGCATTTCCAACAGACCAACGCTCTTCCAAAAACATCCCCCACAAGTGCTCACACTCAGAATGTTCCACTGAACTTACCACGAAGGTGACTTGAAACAGTGTTTGTAAACCTGTCAAATGCTGACTTCATGTGTTGACCCCCATTTTATATTCCTCCATTATACTTACACATATGTTGGCTATTTTTCAATTAAGCAGAGATTTGTTTTTGTGAACAAAAATGTATGTCTCCCCTTTAATGTTTTAAAAGTTATGGCCTGGAAACAATTGAACATATTTTACCTTTGACCTTGGGGTCAAGTTTCATCAGGATATCTTTGATAATTTAAAAGTTACAGCTCAGACAAAATGTTCCTGAGCAATTTGCACATATTTGACCTTTGACCTTGGGGTCAAGGTCACAATGACCTAATGATAGAGCACTGCACATAATGTATGGGTGATGCAGGTACACCTCAAGTTTCATCAAGATAGCTTTAACAGTTTAAAGGTTATGGCTTGGACAAGATTATATTGGAAGAACAAGAACCAGAACCAGAAGAAACAGTACTAAAACAGTATGTCTCCCTTCATTTGAAGGGGTGACATAATGAAACAAATCATTGATGTATTGTTATTCAATAGATATTAGCTTTGTCAATAAAGGAAATTTCCTACTATAGAGTGTTGTGGAATCCCAGAAGATGAGGAGTCCATCTGCAGCCGCCCTTTCAATCTGTCCGAGAGTCACCCAGAGGTCAACATCTCCATACCTAAGCTGTAGTCTGGTCTTCTCTGACACAGGGAGTGTTGGCACACGGGTTGTTGCTGTAATAAATTGTTATCTTAATGAAAGTATTCATAATGAGACAAGGCTGGCCTACACTGTGTCAAGTCATCAGAAAATAAATATAAGATACTGAGTTTCAAGGATCATTAAACTCCAGGAAAAATTGGCTCGTCACAAATTCCTTTATCATGCACATGTACATACCAGGCAGTTTCACTGTGCCAAGTAACAAAAGTTCCAATAAACTGATAAGGAGGAGTTTCGCGTCAGTGTTTCTGGAAGAGAATTTTTCAAGGGCCATAACTCCAAAAAGAACAGTTTAAGGAGGAGTTGTGCTTACAAGGATCATGGATAGATTGACAGACAGAGAAATGAACAGGGTGATTCTAAAATATATACCCCCCAAACTTTGTTTGTGGGTAGGGGGTATAAATATTGTGGTTAAATGAATATAAAATCCTCCAGATTGGAATGATTAATGAAGGTTAAAACTGTATTTATAACAATACTTAAGATACTTAATACTTATGCTCAGACATTCATGTAAATTTACGGTAGGCTATTTAAACATCCTTAAAAGTTGGCCAGATTTTCAAGCAGAACAAAATAGAGCTAGCATAAGTAAGCATAAGGATTCTTACATTTTTCAGGGATGAGTTAATTCATCTATATATGCATGAGATCTTTTACAGAACTTGTGCGATCCTGAGCAATTAAAGAGTTAAATGGTCTGAGAGCATAAAACTCATACCAAGATCATGAGCTACAGTATGCCTGAAAAAGGCAATAAGCCTATCTGCTTAAATTGCCTTTGACTCAGTAGTGAAGGTCAACGTGACCTATATACAGTGTATTTTAAGTTTCACAGGGATATCTTCAGTATAGAGTGTTATTTGGGGAAAAAATGACTCGATATTATTCTGACAGCTGACCTTATACTGACTAGCACATTGTGGCATGGTGAATTGTTTCCAGCAGTAAAGAGTCAAGACAAAGATCATTTGTACTCTTTGCTTAACAAAGGAAACAGATGTTCACACAAACCTCAAAAAATCAGTATTCAATTAAGGTGTGTTCAAAAAAATGTAATTAGCATACATCTTTGATGGTTTAAATTTAAAAGCCTGGACAATGTTGATCATAAAATATGGTCCAGATTTGACTTTTGACCACGAGGTGAAATTGAATATATTTTGTTATGTAATACTTTTAAATAACCAGTCCACTGTATAAAAATGTAAAGCTTCCTGATTAAATTGATGCCACATTTTTGCCAATAATGTAATATTTCTTTTGGAATGGTAGTTATACCCGGTAAAAATCAAGGAATTCCATGTTCCCGCTGCTGCGGAGTATATGCTATAGGCCCTACATTGTATTTAGCTGTGTAGAACTTGTTAAATCCCCTGTCGTGTACGTAAGGACCATACACATACTGTCATTTTGTAAAGGATAAAACTAGACACAGTTTAAATGACCGAGAGGCCATACTGCCACCATTTTGTACACTGTATCCAATGTCAATCAACACAGTACCACACATTTACAATACCATGCCCCACCTTTCTATTGTAAGCATGCACACTAACAACCTTTTGTCGTTATCCTATGACACAACAGAACAACAACATTGTATGACCTGGTCTTTACGTGGAAGAGACATCAAAAGTTAAAGGAGATTGTTCTGAAGATATCAAAGACACTGACCCAGAGGGATAGTAAAATAGGGTGAAGTACCCCAATACCATTATCAGTAGTCCTGACTGTCACCAGATTAAACAAAATATACCTTAATGCATGACATCATTCTGACATAGATGTTACCTTCAAGAACGTTTTGTCTTTGTTTTTTTTCTTCATCTTGAAATGCCTGTAGAAGAAAACAGTTGAATTTACAGGTAGTTCACATTTGTTACCAGAATTCACCTGTTTTTACAGATATTGCCCTTAGAATATGGCTATCAATATATCTAACTCTTGTATAGTGATATTTTTCAATATTCTGTGACAGAATCAATGTTAGGATCTTTTCTGATAATATCGTTCTATTGCAAATTAAATTCTGAAAACAATTATTGGATTTGATTAGATGAATGTCTGACATCAACAGGCACACCAAGTGTAATATTGTTTGTTTCACACTGTTCTGTATTCATCACAAGATGTGCCTTTAATTATTCCAATATGGCCACAAAGCTAATTAGCACTACAACATCATTGGCCTCTTGGTTACTCATAGAAGCCATTGAAATCTTTCAAGATATCTGACCCCTGTGACCTTGAAAGGGGGGGGGGGTCAAGGTCATTTGTTTAAAACTTAGCAGCACTTAACAAATTATGTTTATGGCCTTCAACCATAGGTGTCTTCGTTATTAGGAAGCTGTATAAAAACCTCAACACATTTGCCAGTGCGACCTTGAAAGTATGTCAAGGTGATTCATTTGAACAAATTTGGTAGCACTTCCTTCCAGCACACTACAGGCCATTATCATAACCCAAACAGTCTATAAGTAATTCCAAAACCATTTACACATGTTTATATAAATCTACAACTGTGACTTTGAAAATAGGTCACGGTTACCCATTTCAACAAAACACTTTTTCAGAAAGGCTTTCATCCCAGCATGTTAATGCTTAATATTGAGACATAAGGCATATTTTTTTCAGCAGTGGTAGTTTTAAGGTTAACAAATTAAATCTGACAACTTTTACCTTGAAATAGACTTATTCACTTAGACACATTTATTTATGCTTCATCCACTTGTACTTCTGGCCGAATATGATGGCACTTTCTAAGGCCATCTGGTTATCAGAGAAAGTTGCCTAATTATAACACCATTAAATCATTTGATTTTGAAAATGGGTCATTGTTGATTATTTAAACAAAATTGATAGCCCTCTATGCCAACATGCTACATTTCAAATATCACGCTTTCTTCTTTTGGCTGAGAAACATACATGTTTGACATATAATTTTATTTTCTAACCTGAAGCTTTTGCCAAAGATCCAGGAAATTAAAATACCGGTAAACTTCCAGAAATGGTACATGTTTTATTTAGTTTCAATAATGATGAAAAAACACCATGCAGGCCATATAAGAGGTTTACAAAGCATTTGACTACATCATTTTGCTGATAACTAGCACATAGTAGGGTCCCTGAAGCACAGAAGGTAAACTGTACGTGTCATGACGTATGTAAGTACATACAAAGACTTTAAATAATCCAATGTCATGCTATTTAGTTCAAATTGATGTTGGTACAATTTAAACCTACCTTGACAGTTGGTGTATCTTTGGGATAAACCACAAAGCTAACACTCTCAATACTGGAATCCTTCCCTTCATTGAAGTAGCTGTTTACTGTGTCAAACATGGTCTTGGCCACCAAATCCCTTGGATAACCAAGGTTTCCAGTACCTAGGGCAGGGAAGGATATGGTGCTGTATTTCTTCTTATCAGCTTCAGTCAGACATCGCCATACAAACGCCACCATATACTGAAACAAATATCATTTGTTTTTAGTACATATTTATAAAAAGTAAAACAGCAAAGTATTATTGATAGCATATATGTGCAGACATAGCTACCTAATATCATTTTGTTTTACCATCTGTTTCTGTACAGTCCAGAGAAAATACTTTCATTCTTTATATCAATCATTGTAAAATACAATTGACATGATTGACCGGTTTAATCCAGTTTATAAGTTAATGGGCGATTTATTGTTGGAAAAAAATCATAATACATAGTGATTAGTTTCCATGATATTGAAGTGTTTCCATGTGCACACACGGACAGACAGACCCATTTCTATATTCCCCACAATTAATAACCACAAATTAGATTAGATTGAAGTAGTGGTCAAATCGACGATATCTTTTAGACTTTACACATTGGTACATTGTTAAAAATCCCTGATTTACTTCACTACTACACAATATTTATATCCAAATCAATGTTTCAGGTTTATACCCTCAGTTGATGATCCTTTACATAACTTGGCAGAGCTCCATGGAACACATGTTTACACTTCAACCTGTACCCATGTGTGATGGCCACCTCCCCAAACTTCACACCATGATAGTACTGGTCACATTCCTTCTGTATCTCTGGTCCTCCTTCCTTCAGTATGGAGGCAGATACAGCGCCATAATCCAGCCTTAGTGTTGTATCTGTTGTGTTCACTATTACCTCACTCTGAAATATTTGAAGCTATCAACTATTACATCAAATCATATTCATGATAGAATAGTAATATGTTATGTGAATGTATAAATTATGACAGTCTAACAGCATTACTGACTGAGTATTTTTTTCTGTATTTGTCAAGATATTGGTTCAAGGACAGTTGAATAAACTGCCTGCCCTGAGTGCTTTCCTGTCAGAGTAAGAAAAGTATTTGATTCAATATTTATGTATGCATCACATCAGCAGTAAAACTTAGATATTTGCCAAATTTGATTGAAGCTGAACATTCTATAAGGGCAATTGATAAGACAATACTGTAGGAAAACAAATTAACCAATCAGAATTAAGTAGCCTCATCATAACTATGCATCCACATACATATAACCATAAAAATGGTGATCAAACTGCTGAATGCATGCACAGAATTCAGTACAAATTGGACCAATGATTATTTCAATATTAATAATGATAATAATTTGAGGTTCTTATATACCCCTGGTGAGCATACAACCGGAGCTACGATGTCGACGCTGACAGCTAGCATTCAACAATTCTAGCACTGCCCAACCACGTACTCATTTACAGCTGAGTAGACTGGAACAAGCAGAGTAAAGTATCTTGCTTAAAGATACAACACAGTGCCGTGCCATGACTCGAACCCGCAACCCTTCGGTCATGAGCCTAGCGCCCTACCACTAGACTACTATGCCTAGGACAGGAATCAAAGGAAAAATAAAGCATGATAAACAAACAGAGGGCAGGCATATACGGATAAATTGGTATCCCACATTCTCTGAAAGCAGTGGAAACAAAAAATTGCTGTGTATTGTATTCTTTGTTCTTACCTATACACATAAAAAGGTGTAATTTAAATACCTTAAAAATGAATCTTAAATAATGTCTACAGTAAAGATTATACTGATTGATTGCATGATCAAACACAAATAGAAGCATTATGTCTAATAATTTTGTATGACAAAAATTGTGAAGCAGATAAATAGAATCCATCCCTGATGTGAGGTATGGATAAGGTAAATCAAACCAAAGGAATAAAATATTGCGCAGGAGGCCCGAGGCTTTGCTGAGGGTGTTCTGCTCAATATTTCATCCTGAGGTTATAAGCGATCCAGACACGTGGGTCGGATAGAATTTTCCAGCACTGCCGGAAATGCGGATATCTTGGTCTAGACTATGCAAGAAATATACTTACTGTCATCTTGGCTATTTCTCCTTTGTGTAAAACTATCTCAGGTTTTTCTATAACAAAACAAAATACAATCAAGCATGAATATAGTAGATCCGGGTTGATTTAGTGCAATATACGAGTAGAAAATATAATCAAATTGCCATACTAACCCAGCAATTTCGCTTTTATTTATTTTTATTTTTTCAATACTGATAATATTAATTTACATTACAACAATAGGTCCAGAGGCCCTGAATTGCTCACCTGGACAATTAAGCAATCATGGAAAAATTGTCATATAATACTGCCACTATTTCCAAATATTGGCCATGCATGTTTCTCAGCAACACCTGTGTCCCTCCATTGGGTCCTTTCTTTCTGCCTCCATGCATTGAGGTAGATCTTAAACATTTACCTTAATTTTCGTTATTGAGCCCCATCCCTCTGCCCCCAGGAGGAACCCTTTATTTCTAAAATATGGAGTCTCCTTTGCCCAAGGATATCTTACACAAAATTTGGTTAAAATCCCTCTTGTCACACTGAAGAGAACAGATTTTAAACATTCTATAATTACTCCATGCATGTTCCCCTCATTGGGCCCAGCCCCTCTGCCCCCAGGGGGCCACACTCTCGATTGTTACAAAGTTTGATTCCTCTTGCTTAAGTATGCTCTTGATTAAATTCAGTCAATATCCTTCCATAAAGCAGAAGAAGAAGGATTCTAAAGATTTACCAGGGCCCAATAGGGGAAATGCCCCTATTGGGCCATGTCTGTCTGCCTTTAGTAGGGCCACACCCTGTTTATACAAAATTTGGTCCCCCTTGCCCATTAAGGATGCTCTTCACAAAATTTGGTTCAAATCCCTCAAATCAAACTGAAAGAAATAGGATTTTAAACATTTATTACTAATTGCTCCCCCTATTGGGGCCCTGCAGTTGTTTAAGGTTTCAACACATTTGACACTTGAGGCCTTGAATATGGATATGGGTGAAAGTCGTTCTTTTGAACAAACTAATTGATATAAGTCCTTCATCCTCAGCATGATACTGACCAAATTATCATCACTTAGGCCTTGGTTATTACTTTTTCTTATTGGAGAAAATTGACACCAGATGGATTGACGACATTTCAAATCACACCACAGCTTTCGCTCACTTGGCTCTGTTTGTTTGAGTGGTACATGTACGACGTCTGTTTAAGTACCAAGTATTTTGGTTATCAAGCAGATGAAGAAAAAGTAGGAAACACAGTAGAAGGGATATATATGTAGTATGTAGTGAAGGAATAGAAAGGGATGTTAACACAAACAAAGGCTAACATATAGATATCCCCCTCCCCCTTTCCCTCACAACATCTTCCTAAAATATGTCAAATGTGACTTTTGAATTTGACCCTTTATTGTTTTGGCAAATGACCACCAAAATCTAATCGGGTATAGAACTCAATGTCACCATGCTATGGTGTAAATATATCCTAACTCTGTTGGCATGTTCTAGAAATATTTTATATCTTAGATATTACTAAAGGACACATGGATACACTGACCAAGGGATCATACCATATATTCTGTTCCCTAAGTGGAAAGAAATACAGTAAAGTTAGAGTGGATATACGGTCCAATTCATGCATTAATTCTCATAATTATATACTTGAATGTTGTATGAATCTTGATCATAAATATAATCCATTCACAATTTACAGTTGAGGTTGCTTGTACTTTTAAAGGTTTGAAATGCATCTTTTTAACATTTATGAGGGTTATGCAACACAGTTCCGTTCAAACATATTCCATGATGCGCGTTAGAATATGATTAAACGGAACTGTGTTGCATACCCTTATAAATGTTAACAAGAGGCCCATGGGCCTTAACGGTCACCTGATATATTTATACAGAGAGTTGATTTCGTTTTTAACATGAACAGAAATATTATTCAAAGTGACAAAAAACAATAAAACCACCTTATTCAATATCAAGCATACAGATTTCAGACTAAAAAGGATTTGAAACTAGCACCTCTGATTCTAAACAAGGAAAATGAAGAAATTTTAGCACACTGACTCCCTTGAGCCCCACCCTACAGCCCTTGGGGGTAGGGCTGGCTCAAAATTTTCAAAGTATCAAACTGTCAACTCAAGGTTATAATTCCAATCAAGTTATTAACATGTAATATTCAA